CAAGGAAACCTTAACTAAATGGTTATATTCACTTAATTATGAGGAGGTTGAAAACCTACTAGTACGAATTATTTAAACAAATTTAATTTTGGTAGTTATTTCGTGTAATGAAATTACATTCATTTAAAATAATCCCGAACATGATGATGAATTATTTTATGTAAGTTATGAAGAATGGAAGTCTAACCTGAACCTAACTAACATTCGTTCAGGGTATTTAAATTAAACGCCGATAAAAATGAAATTACGTTATTACGGTAGTAGGAAGTAATAAGTACTAGAAAACAGTTATCAAGCAGAGAGGAAGAGAAAAGTTGAAGTTACAAGGCAAGAAATAAGAAAATAGCGATTGAGTACTAGGTATTCTAAATACGAGCTAGATTTCGCGGAGCGTGCGCGCGGCCTCTCTGCGTCGGTAGCAAAATCGGACTGATGAACAGAGAAAATCGATGATCCACGATTGAGCGCCGGCCGCCCGATGACGCCCGAAACACGAAGATGGGGAAGTACCTATTCCGTGCGAGCCCGATGTCCGTGCCGCGCGCGAGGCGGTGGTATTATTGTATTCAATTACAAGTCACCGCTCCAAATGAAAGATATGAAATTTTCTTTTAAGATATGAAATTTTGTTTAAGTACTGAAATCAATCGAGTTTAAAAACAAAATCTTGTATCTCCTATCGAAAGTAAAGGAACAGGAATTTGCCAGTGTGTTATTTCTAGGCGTTCAGATTGCGGAATTAAATAAGTTTTATTTTATTAATTACTATCGTAAAAAATGTAAGGAATAACGAATCTGTATGACAATGTAAAGAGCATCTGTCATCTGTTTACAGTACTTTTTAATGCTTAGGTACTACTACCTGTGCTTAACAATTAAAATTACGTTCATTACTCGACTGCGCCAGATGGAGGGTTATGTTTTTCGAGTGTATGTATGTGGGTATGTCTAAACGGCTTGACCGATTTTAGTGTGAGAGGTGTCTTTAGATTCGTCTTAATCGTGAGAGTGACAGTGGCTAGCTATTTCCAAATTTCCCTTCCTACTTAAGACGGGCTTAGGACCGACAAAAATACATAAACTCTCGTAAAAATAAGAAAAGACGGATAACATCATAAAACTTAGAAGTATTTACAATTATTTTAGCTTTTGTCTGTTTAATGAAGTAAAATGTCGTAATAAATTGGCTAATCGCGCGCGAAATTTTAGGTATTGTTGGCGTAGTTAAAAATTTGGAATCAGCTTATTTACAACGATTAATTTTAACCTAATCCTATGTACACAGTTATTTACACTAACCTCAGTAAATGTTCGATGTGACCACCTGACTGAGTGATACAGAGTCTCGCACGGCGTCTACAATTATTTTTAAGATTTTGTAAAACAAACTGGTTTTGTTTGATTGTTTCGAAAGCACTTAAAATCTTTTCTCGTAGCAAATCTACACTACTGATTTCTTCTTGGTAAACTAAGCGTTTTACATCACCCCACAAATAAAAATCCAGTGGTGTTAAGTCTGGGGAGCGTGGTGGCCAGGGAACAGGCCCACCACGCCCGATCCACTGGTTTCCAAACACTCGATTTAGGTAACCACGCACTTGGAGTCCGTAATGTGGTGGTGCTCCGTCATGTTGATAAAACAAGTTTCGGTGATGAGCTAGTGGTATGTCTTCTAACATTTCATTGACTACGTGTTCTAGTAAAGTCTCATATGTAGAACTGTTCAGACGGCCCTCGATGAAATAGGGACCCAATAGCTGGTCACCTAGTATACCAGCCCACACGTTAAGGCTAAAGCGATGTTGGAAAGAATCTCGCTTGATTACATGTGGGTTGTGGTCTCGGTAGGTCCACCAGTGCTCATTGTGGCAATTGTACATACCAACTCGTGTGAACAGACTTTCGTCTGACCATAAAATGTTAGCATCTTCGTGGTCCAGCAACCACTGACAAAAGTTAATTCGGACGGTATGGTCAACTTCGAGAAGGTCCTGGACTGGCTGAAAGTGGAATGGATGTCTACGTTCATATTTCAGCAATCGCCAAACAGTCGTATGGTGAACGCCAAAATGACGGCCGGCTTCTCTGGTACTTGTTCTTGGTTCCCTCTCAAAGTATTCTAGGATGGCTTCTTGTAGGTCCACGTCAAGGCCAACTCTGCCGCCTCGACTACGAACGTGCCATGGTTGTTGAAACTGTCCGTGATCACGAAGTCTTTGAGTAGCTCCGAGCATGATCTCTCTTGTTGGCGTCGGCCGATTTGGGAACATGTTATGAAACATTACAATGGCCTGACGCAAGCTGTTGCCACTTATAGCGTATAACCGCACCATTTCTACCAACTCAAAATTCGAATAATTTTCCGTCATGTCTGCGTGCGCTGCGACACGAGTCGCTTTCGCAGTGTTTTCCGGATGACTGAGGTAAGTACGTGCGCGCGCGGTGTGCCGCGGTTGCCGGCTCCGGACTCCGCGCGACCGTTTGCGCTGGGGACTATTCTGTACTGTAGTGGTCGATTATGAAAATCGTAGAATATTTTTTTTAAAAAAAATTTTTTTTTAAGTAAATTTTTTTTCTGATTTGTGATCAGAATAAGCTACTTAATCAACTCCCTAAATATGGCGGGTATTGAAATCAACACCCTGTATATTGTATCTTGATTTGCGGGGTATGCATCGTACTATGGGGCGTAAAGAAGCCATTAATGCGGAAATTTTTTTCTTAATATGGTCAATATGAACGTTCCATGTTAAGTGGCTATCTAAATAAAGACCTAAATATTTTTCGTGTTTTTTTTCTTGTAATGATGTAGTGAAGATTGTCAATGGGTTGAATGGAGGTATGTGCTTATTCTTCGCTTTAAAAATAATGTATGAAGTTTTAGATGCATTAATTGTTAATAGATTTTGTTGCAACCAGGTTGTGAGAGTGTCAAGATCATGTTGGGCATGTGAGATTAGATTATTCATGGATGGCCCAAAATAGAACAAACAGGTGTCATCAGCGTATAAGGTAATATGACCGTGTAGTCCAATTTTATCTATACTATTTATGTAGATTAGAAATAGCAGGGGGCCTAGTACGGATCCCTGTGGAACCCCGTAATGAATTGGAAGAGTTCTGCTCTGGCTATCGCCGATTTTAACAATTTGTAGCCGGTCATTCAGGTAGGAGGTGAACATTTTGAGTGCGTTGCCACCGATCCCTATCACTGCAAGCTTTCTAAGTAGAAGTTCATGGCTCACGGTATCGAACGCCTTTTGAAGATCTATAAATATACCCAGAACGATATTCTTACGATCAATATTTTGCCTGATTTTAGTAATAAGATCAAGTGTTGCAGCCAAGGTGTTACTTTTAGGTCGAAAGCCAAATTGGCGATCACTAATGAATTCTATGGACTGTAGATATGACTCTAAGCGTTCGTATAAAATCTTTTCTAGAATTTTTGATAGTATGGGTAAGACAGAAATTGGACGATAGTTTCCTGGATCGGTTTTTGTTCCTGATTTGTACACCGGAGTCACTTTGGCTAGTTTTAATGAGTCTGGAAAGTGTCCCTCAGCTAATAAAACGTTCAAACATTCGGTTAATCTATCGATTATTAAGCCCTTGATACATTTAATAGCTTTGGAACTGATACCATCCAGACCAGTGCTACAGTTAGGGTCAAGGCCATCAATGATCCTTGAAACTTCGTCAGCAGTACATGGTTTCAACGACATAAGTCCTGATGTGTTGTTCAGTGTGTTCTGTGATAGATTGGTTTGATGTGTGTTATTAGAATGTAGTGTGATTTTGTTGGCCAGAACAGATCCGATAGTGGAAAAATATTGGTTAAATATATTACAAATACCTTCGGGGTCAGATGATATATTAGTTGATGTTACTAATTTTGGCGGAGCACAGCTGCTTTTCATTTTAAGATTAGATAGATTATTTATGAGACTCCAAGTCTTCTTGGGGTTGTTTTTGCAATCACGGAATTTGCCATAATAATAAGCATCTTTGGTCATTTTGATCTTATTAGCCACTTCCTCTTTTACTCTTGTATATGTGTTTTCTAACGTAGTATTATTCGGGTCTTTTTTATATTCAATCCATAGTTCATTCCTTTGGTTAATAGCATTAAGGATATCTCTGTTGATCCAATCTTTTAGTGGTGGGTTCTGCTTCTTAAACTTGGTTATTTTACTTCTTTCTATATTTATCTTAATTGTTTCTTCTAGTTGCTTAAAATTCATATTATGTGTATTTTCTAAATCTATTTTTTTAACCGATGTATGCAGTTGTTCATAATCCAAAGCTTTGTAGGCAATCCGCTTGATTGGAGGTGGCTTGTATTTCTTCAATGAAAGGTAGATTTGTCGATGATCAGACATTGCGGAATCACACAAAGCAAAATGATAAAGTTCATTTTTTAAATTTGTACTGACGTGATCTAGAATTGATTTCTTTGTTGCAGCTTCTCTTGTAAAAAAATCTTTGTGGATCTTGTTGAGAATTTTGTATCCAGCTTCTTTTAAAGTGTTTTTATATAAGCGTCTTTTTCTACTACTTTCCAGCAAATCTATGTTAAAATCTCCAAAAATTAGCGATCTTTTTCGTTGCTGTAGTTGTATATCAATAGTGTCAATGAAAGTGTTGAGATTTGTATCTCCTGGATAGTAAACGACACCAATGTCAAGGGCGTATTTTTTCAGTTTTATCCAGAGATAGTTATTACCTCCCGAGTAAATTGATTCATCCAGACTATGATTGAGGTCGTTATGTGCGTATATTGAAACACCACCGCCAATCCTGTCAGTTCTATAACTGTAATAATGTGTGTAGTTTTGTAGCTGAAGTCTTAGTGCTTCTTCTTCATTTTTAATCCATGTCTCTGTCAGTAGTATAACGTGTATTGTAGTCGGTATAGATCGGATGAGACATTTCAGTTCGTCAAATTTCCCTTTCGAGCATATACTACGTGCATTCAAATAGAAGAAGTTAAGGCGAGATTTGGCAGTTTGGAGGTCCGAGTAGTTAGTGACGATTTGATAAGTCAATTTGTCAGGGATTGGCGAGGATGTGGGCTCTCGTTTTTTGAGTTGGCTTTAATGANTATCCTCAAATCATGTAGTGGCAAAACGGTTCACAGATTGATAGTTTTTTTTAAATCGAATTACTAATAAATTAGAGAGAAAATGATCATTCAGACAGTTGACTGAAGTATAGACTTTGAAGATTAATAACTTAAAAATTACTTGTTTCTTTCAGATTTTTTTTATTGCACATTATAATTTGGAATGTTTACTTTCAAAATTCATCAGATTTAATGCGAAAAGTACATATTTAGTTTTTCAGCCTCGGTAACATTTGTCATGGAATGACCCATAAGTCAATTTGTCAGGGATTGGCGAGGATGTGGGCTCTCGTTTTTTGAGTTGGCTTTAATGAGTTTTGGTATGCCTTTAATATACTTAATAATTAAGTCAGTCTCACCATCTTGGGAACGACGAGCCAGTTCTTTTTGAAGGTTCAACATAAGCCTCTGTTGGCATGGGGTTTGGTCCGAGTAAATTTTTATTCCTGCTGGTAGATTGGCTTTGCTTCGTAAAAGTTGGATGACTGCGGTTTGAGTGTCAAAGCAGACCTTGATCCGACGGTTCTTCTTGGGATCGTATTTCCCAATACGAAAAATCTTGATTGGAGCCGGCGTATCTTTTACAATGTTTAGTAGAATGTCCATGACCTTAGCCATGTCTAGCGATTGACGTTCTGATGCATTAGAAGATGACTGTTCCTGGATTCCTCCCAAAATAATATTTTTCTGTCTATTGTTGCGCTCTTGAACTTCATTAATTATTTGCTCACTATTTAGCATTTGATAGTTCAGATCAGAGGCTGAGTTGGCAGATGACATTGGGTCGGTGGTTTTAAAATCAGCCAGGTTAGACTCCATTGTTCTCATTTTCTCTTCTCCCTCGGAGATTTTTTTTTCAAGTAATGTTATTTGTGATTTCATTTGGTTCTGTTCCAAGGTAAGGCTCGACATTGACTCTTGGATTTCATTGATTTGTTTTTTCACTTCACTTACATTGTTAGTAAGTAGCGAGAAATTCTGTTCATTCGATGATTTCATATCCGTCAGATGAATATTCATTTCTGAGACATTATCCAAAGTTTTTTGGTTTATAGTAACAAAATTTTCAAGTAGTTTAGAGATTCGTGCCATCTCGGAGCGTAGATCCTGGACGTCTCCACTGCAAGAACAGCCAAGGTCGTGTGGTTGTTTTCTTTTTCTGAAGGTAATCTGCGGGTCCGCTGCTTCGCGACCAATAGTGGATAAATCAGGTGTGGAACGGCACTCTTGCCCCGACGTTGATTTAACAGGTGAATGTAACAGGCTCATTATTGCATAAGCTTGTCCACGGCTCAGTAAAATAATTTCTTACTTGTGTGCGCGCCGTTGTGTTCGGGCACGGGTTCGGGCGATGAGTCAGGCGAGCAGTAGATTCGCGTCGAAAAATACGGGCACTGATTTAAACGAATTTGATTTTTAAAATTTAACGAATACAGTCGAATTTAAAATGCCAAATTATAGATATTTTGTTAAGAAATCGGACACACGTCTGCCTTTGACGGCGTCGAACGACGAACTACCTACCTAATGATAATAATTGATTAGGTTTGATTTAATGTCACTTTTTAAGATTGTACTATAAGTTCTATCGGAAATAAGAGACATTTCTATGTATTTTCCTCTTCTATCAGGGTCATAACAGGGATTAAAAATATTTCTACAAACGTAACAATGATGAACTTGCTAGTAAAATAATACTAAGTTTATTCTATTTGGAGGATTCCTTACAAATAATTGTTTGAAGCTTTTTTTCAGATTATGATACGATCAAGTATTACAGTTATTAGGACAATGTTATCAAAGCTTTTCTTGGGGGAAGCCTCGGGGGAGGCCTTTGTCCAGCAGTGGACGTCAATGAGGGTTTTCGCGTATGAAAAATCCGCCAGATGGCAATACGTAGACGCGAAGTCCAAATGCTGCATGATTGGTTATTTTTGACATGACATTGACAGATATGTCAAAATCCAACAATCACGCAGCAGTCAGACCACACATCCACGTCCCGCCATCTAGCGGATCTTTCATTCGCGAAAACCCTCATTGGCTGAATCGAACGAAGATTTTCTAGACTTATGCCCGTATTCACAAGTAAGTGCAATAAATCGAACGCATAGCGTTGAATAAAGCTCTGTGATTGGTTCGTGTGTCACCCTGTGCGTCCACGCGCACTGTGAGACCTCATAATAATGTTTTGTGATTACGGGCGTAATTGTACGAAATGTAGTCTTGTAAACAACTTAAATGTTTTTGTGAGTAGTATTACTCATTATTATAATATTATGGTAATATAGTAAAAAAATAAGAAACGAGTACTCTATAGCAAGTATCCTCGACTACTCTTATTTTATTTTTATTTTATTTATTAGGACAACCAACAAGACAAACACGCATACATGAAATTACTATAACTAAAAGTGCTTAAAACTAAGTGCTGTCTTATTAATGATTAAAAAAAATAAAATTCGCCAGTAACGCCACCTACACCATTAGGTTGGTACTAACCAGTATCTCATGCTCTCGCTTGAACCTATTGTGCTTTAAGTACCTTGAACAGTTCATACCAAATAGTGAGTTTAAATTCCGCTAGATGTCGCATGGTGCAGAAAAGACAAAGATTGTGATCTCACTCAATAATCCTATTAATTTATTTAAATTACTTATTATTCGATTATGAAAATTATATTTATTCAATTCATAACCTATACTTTGTAAAGTATTCATTACAAGATCCTTTTAATTAAAATTATTGCTTTGAGAATTGCGTTCTAAATTGTGAACAATCCATGTTCCATGACTAAGGGTGGATTCGACCAAAAAACAAGAGTAAATATTAATATCAGAATAAATCGTCAGTTAATCGACATTTTGACATATTTCCCATACTGAAACTGTCAATTTGCCAGTTATACCAGGACTTATTCTCACATAAAAGTTTGGTCGAATCGAGCCTAAAAAGAAAATAATATAGACATGCAAGTCAAAACTATGTACAATATTATTTAAGAACTTTTGTACCAACATGAAGCAATAAACAATGTTTCATTTGATTTGAAGCCACCTCTATTTACCCCAGGGATTGTGCAAGCCGATTATGAAATTGCCTGTTGCGTACCAACAGGCACCTAGGGATAAAGGGCAAACAAGTTCAAACAACCCGCTATTGCCATGTAGGGTGGGGGATGTGCGCTTTTGTTTCTCTCTGATTGCTGTATGGTGCCAATGAAAGGTAGCAATAATGAAGATCAAGAAAGGTAGAAATACAATGGGTAGAAAGGTAGGGATGTCTATCTTTCTTTCATTCATTCTATCATTGCAAGTATCTTTCCATTGGATTTGGGTAAGAAGCTTCTAACTTACAATGGGCTTTTTTGACCGGATTTCAAGAAATTTGTTACTTTCAGGAAGTAAAACACATTATATTGAGCTTTTTTTAGGAAAAAAGTATTTTTTTTTATGTTAGGTAGCCTTTTAGGGCGACTAAATGCCGATTGATGTTAAAACTAAGAAACCAACCTTTCTTATTTTTACATGTCATTTAAACTTAATACTGTTTATTTCATTTATTATGTACTAGCTGTAGCCCGCGGCTTCACCCGCGTGAAATTTAGTTCGTTTGTCATAAATTATAGCCTACATATGTTATTCTGGGTTATAAACAACAATACTGTAAACTTTTATCAAAATCTGTTTAGTAGTCTTTGCGTGAAAGAGTAACAAACATCCAGACATCCATACAAACTTACGCATTTATAATATTAGTAGGATCATAACTACAGTTGAATTAGTTGAGCACATTAGTTAACCAACAAATTAATTACTTCATTTACTATTAAACTAACATAATAACGCATGTTGTAATCAATCGCGGAAATTAATCTTTCTGTGGTAGGTTGATCTGCGACCGTTAACAGTGATGGAGACCATAGTAAAGTCAGCACATCAAGGTAAACGATATAGCATCTTATGTAGAGTTGTAATAGATGTTATTTTGCAATTAAAATGTAGGTAATTTCTGATGTCGACAGTACGGGAAGCCATTAGATTTTTATTGTTTTAGGACAATATTTTTTTCGATGTCAAAACCTACTTCAGCGAAGAAATCGTTGCGTGTTCTTTTCATCTCCTGTTCGTAAAAGCTTGGAAATTATATTTCCTTTACACAGGACCGGGATAGATTGTCATTTACCTATTGTTTTATGTTTTTAAACTGTAAAATGTAAAATAAAAGATACCTTCTTTTGTTTCTTTCGCAACAAGTACCTAAGTAATAAAAATAATAGTTGGAATTATGTTTAGTTTAAATTGTTCTTTACGTAACATAATAACATTAAACTCTACATAAATGTTGCCTAACAGTACTTTTAATTTGTTTTTATTTAGTTTAAAAAGTTAATTTCACTGGAAATGTTATCTATGCCGTAATTATAAGTCTTGAAAATTGAAAGGAGTACCTACCCTAAGCAATTGATAAAAAGTGGAGTTAGCGTGACCCTATAATGCATTTTTAATTAGTTCGCAATTTGCATAGAATTAACACCCTTACAACATCAAACACAAATGCAAAATAACATTCTGCAGCTATATTACACTTGCTCTACCGTACTTAACAAACACATTGCCTTTGAACCCTGATCGTCAACAATGTTATCCGCCCGAAATAGGCATGTCAACTAACTCGACTATAGTAAAGTAAGCAGGTTTCGCCAAAGAAAACTCCATTGAAAACCGGGGGTTCGCCTGCCTCGGGCGAACGCGGCAGTCTAATTCCGACCGCCACGCTCGTTGCTCGCGCGCGCTCGTCTCTCCGCGACTCCGCGCAATTAAAGAAACAATGGACACACGTCACTAATAGGTAAAAACATTTTTTTTATCATCCAATTGTTCCAGCAATTCTCCCCACACACGTTGACCGTGAACGCACTGTAAAACAATTTGTTTACCAATGTTTACGTTTGTAATTTCCAACGGTCTCTCACGGGTTTTCTTCCCGGACTTGCGGATTATTTACTTAAAGATTAACGACTGTTTTATTGCGGGTAGTGCGGTTCTGTTTTTCGTAAGCTTCGACTGTAGTTGTAATATTTTCGTGAGAAAAATCTGTTTAAAAACAATCTGCACTGGGAATTGTTTATCCAATTAGTTTGGTATTAATTTTGCTCATACCAAAAACGCTTGAACATCAAATAGTTTCTACGAAGAAAATGTTTTAAAAGCTCCTAGTGCAAGCTCAAATAATAGAGCTTTTAGCTTATGAGTGGCAATATGAATTTGAAATGAGCTTAGAGTGCAGAGCAGTAAATAAGGGTGAATTTTAAGTCTCCCAGCAACAAACAAACTTAAAAGCCGGTTTTCTCCCAATATTGTTATTAGATTTTCTTTATTATTATTATGTTTTGAGTTTATCTTAGATCTAACTGAACCACAGTAATAGTACTAAATTGACAGTTATTTTATGATATTATTATCGAATTCCTAGACCTTTTTATATCCACAAAATTAAATTGAAACCACCGTAATTAGATGATGTTTCCAACTACTCGTAATTACAATTAGAGCTTTTTTAAGGTTAGATAATTAGAATTATTGTAAGAAACTTTTTAAAAGAAATTAATTATTAACAACTGCCGACATTACCGTTAATTATTGTATTTGAAAAAACTTTAAACCCCCTTGTTTTTATAAATCTTTTTTAAGAATAATTTCTAGTTATTATACCAACTTACGTAAAAAACGTAGATGCATGCGGTTTTATCCAATCGAAATCTAGAGAAAAAGATACAGTGTGTGTTGATACAATATCTATACCCTATGTCTCTTGTATGTCTCTAGTTCTACGACTATAATTTATGTATATTTTTCTGTTATTTTCTGCCATCTGTCCTATCCATCTTCTTTTCTTCACCAATGAATACGTTAAAAAAGCTACAAATAAAACTCCGATCACAGCTTAAAAAGCATTGTGAAAGGAATCTGTACAAAATTGTCAGCCCATAGATTATGCCAACCAACACCATAACGTTTTAATTCTGTACGCCAGTGAACGGTTTATCATGGTATTATTTTTATTCTGGGGCTGTCAAACCCTTTGTCTGCCGCACGTTTGCCGAAGGGTGCTCAAGCAAGGGCAGGGGTTGGGGATTGGGGATGAAATGTCCCCTTCAATAGTCGACCAGATTTATTAGCCATTTTTATGGTTATCTTATCTAGTTCTTGGTAAATTAGGAGGTGTTCTCGAGTAATGTGCTTGGTGCGTGATGAGTTGAGGTACAAATATTTTTCGTGATTCGGAACAGATTGGGAAAAGAAATAGCGTCGGGTCACTTTGTTACCAAGTACCTAATTAGAATCAGAATAATAATAAATATTATAATAATTTGATTATGAAGAAGAAGAAATTCTGCGAATCCTTACAAAAATCCTTAGTGGGAATTCACTGGGCCTCAGCCTGCGTCTTTGCCCATTTTTTAAATCTAATATAACATACCTACTAGGTGTACTAAAATGCAATAATAAACTGACGTTCAGAGTAACTTTTGCTCTACATTAATATGTCAATTTATTTATTGGGCTATCAACATAAAATACAGTAATAAAAACATAAGACACAATTTGAGAATTTGTTGATACTCTCAAGAGATTGGATTGTTTGTAGATAGTAGCAGTCTGTGTATCCCAATTTACGATTATTATAATCCACTTTCTGCCTCGGGAATTTTAGACCTCAAGGGACGTTTGATAGCCTTTCGAAGGGCGAGCAGGGAGAGGTTAAAAGAACTTTTATAAGAATTTTTATAACCCTTTTCATGTTTATTTAAAGTAAAATATTTATTTATTTGGAAGTCAACAACTTTGTCTACTATTTCAGATGGAATTACATTATAACTTCTAGCCATTTACAGACAAGTTAAGTTACAAATAAGTTATACATTGGACCGCAAAGAAAAAGGGTCAGTTGAAAGTTTTTATATCTTTAAAAATATCTGATCTGGTTTTACGAAAAACGTACTGGAAAAACTTGAAGATTTTCTAACCGATCCTTTTTCTTTGCGGTTCAGTGTATTTGGTATATCAGTCAGTCATACTTCCTCACTTGAGTCAAATTTAGTACCAAATAAATATTTTTTCTTTCTTTCTTTCTTTCAAATTTATATTACGCCATAGAAATTAAACATTATGCTCAAGTAGAACTGTCCATTAGGCATGGAAATGATTGCTATTTTTCATTCATTTTCATTCTATGAAATGATGATTTTTTTTCATATGATTTCACATGCGAAATTTCACAGGCAATGATTTTTATTCGCAGTGTTTTAATGTAGCTCTTTCATATAATGTGCTACTTTTAATGAAGTATGAATTATGATGAAGGATTGCTAATTAGCTAAAATATGAAATGTAACAATATCTGTTTCATTTATGTCGCGCAACAAAAAACAAACAGTTTCACAGCACATCAATAACCGCGCAACTAGTGAAAATCATTCATTTCATCCGCCTGCTATCTAATGAAATCATACGAATCATGACAAGGAAATCTAAACCTTACACCTTTGAGTTTAAAGTTCATATTTAAAATGCCCAGTTTCGTCCGTCATAACATCTCTTGTCCTTTTCTAACACGCACATGATCAAATCATTCCTTCTTACTCGCTCGGTCGCTTCGCAGAGCTGCGCTCACGGACTTCGCTCGAATGAATGAATGAAATTCATGTGATTCGTGATTTCGTTGACTGTGAAATTATAGCAGTCTATGTGAAGTAAAATAGCAGGTGTGATTAATGAAATTCATTTCATATGATTTTTCACCTGCTATTCATGAAATGTTCCATGCCTACTGTCCATACAATTACGTCTTCGCCTCAGGCCGGCAATTTCCCTAAACGAATTTCTGAGCTTTCCGACAGAGTCAATTGTTGTGGAAACAATTATGGAAAACACTCGGCGGATAATTAACACTTGAGTAAAGATGAGGGTACACTAGGACGTGGTTCATCTAATTTTGGTATTATTGTGCTCTGTTGTTGGCTCCTCTCATAGTGATTTACGCCCGTATTCACAATCGATGCTTGCTTAAATGGAGCAGCAAATCGGATGCACAGCGTTGAATAGAGCTCTGTGATTGGTTCGTGTGCCACCTGTGCGTCCACGCGCACTGTGAGACCTCATAGTAATGTTTGTGAATACGGGCGTAACTCGTCCAAATCTGGTGCTTGCTATCTATATTTTTATTTCTTCTTAGCACTTGCCATATGTTAGGCTCGCTGCTGCCTAAAAAAAAGTCAAATCTTGTTGTAAACTGAATATATTTTATACATACATCACCGAATGGTTAAGTGTTTTATATCTTTTGTAAATACGAGCCGAGTCCTAGTCTCATGAAAATAAGATGAGAAAATGTTTATTCAGTGAAATTTACAAGAATGTCATCGAAAAGGCAAGCAGGCAGGTATCCACTATCTATCCAGCATCATGCCGAGGTGTCGTAAAGTTTTGGTGAAGTTTCATTATCATCAGATCATTAGTATCCACCGCAGGAGAATGAGCGATGACTTTTCGAGCTTTATGTAGAGTTTTTTTTATCTTCAACGAGGAAGCTCTTGGCCTGTATCTCACCTGATGCTAAGTGACGATCAGGCCGAAGGTGGAAGCGTGCTTCACTCGGAATCCTCAACCACGGAGGAACTGGCTATCTTACCTCTAACTGCCGGAACACAACAATGCTGTTAACATTGTTGTTATGGCGACAGACTTAAGTTCTCTTAAGTCTATTAACTTGTGTGACTCCACCCTTATCGTTTCCCAAAGTAAACCTACTGCGACTAAATGAACTTGAACCTTGAATACACAACAAACGGGATCAAGTACTTCATTTATGAGTTATGAGCCTGTTGTGCCAAATGTTTCGTAGCCGAAAGCTTTGAGCGGTTGAGTTTACATTTTAGATGTAATTTTGTTTTTCTGGATGTAGGTACAATACATTGTATTTTATTCTCTATTTGGATTATCTTGGTTGGCTTTTGTGTTGAGAATTAGATTATAAAAGTTGATATTGATGTTTATTTAAAATGTACGTTTTTTTATCAAACATTGAGTATTTATAAAAATAATAGTGAAATAGTACTAGGGAAGCGCAACGAATTTGGAACAAAAATAAGGATGTCTAAAAATTCTTTGACAATCGAATCATTAGTACTCGTAACTTAGGCTAAAGTTTACTTTAAATAGATATTAGGGTTCCCTGAAAATAAAAACAAGCGGAGCCGCAGACAGAGGTAGTTAAAAATATAACCCGAGAGTACATTCCAATAAAATGCCCGTCTAAAACCCAATTGTGGTCTCAATTGTCGCGCCTGGGCTCATTGAATCGCAAATTCAGATCTAGTCGGATGCCTTGCTGACCTGCAATTCGACCTTCGACCAGTGTTCGTCTCTCTCACAAACATAGCAAATGAAAGGGACAGACATCTAGACTATACATAACAGGTAAACAGTAGGTGTCTTAGGATTAATTTTTAAAACATTGCAAGTACCTACCTACTTAGGCAGGTCTAGTCAGAGGTTTCGTCTCTCTCACAATCATGTCAAATGAAAGAGACAGACATCTTTACTTTACATTATACATGACAGTTAAACGTATGTCTTGGGATTAATTTTTAAAACATTGCATGTACCTAGTAGGTATGTAATTACTATTACGTTATTTATTTTCCATTGTAATTATAATGTGTTGTTGTATTGACCCTTAATTAATTGAAAAAGCTAGCATATCATTGTTCTTCGATGTAGACATCCACGTGGAGACCAATTAGGGTATTTCAAAACAGACCTACACTTAATAATGGTAATTTAACA